TCTCTCTCATCATCACAGCGGCATGGAGATGTTAACTACCGCGCCTGGTTCACAGGAAGTCGTGGGTTTGATCCCGACCCTGACGATGCCTGCCTGCTGCTGTATATTTGGAGTTTGCGTGTCTCTCTCCCCATGATGGTCGCGTGGATTTTTCTCTGGGTCCTCCGGTTTTTCCCTCCATGCAAGCCACTTTGTTGATTATTCCACTTTGTTGAGTTGCTGCTATCATTTGCGATGGCCAGGGGGTCGCTCCTGAAAACCAGCTACATAGCTCAGTGGGCCTTACCTGGAAAAATCTAAATACAAGGATTCATACTCTTAGGTTTTTTTCGGTAAAGTCACGTAGGTACAAATAAATAAGAAAAATAATAGAAATAATTATAGAAATAAAATTCTAAATCACGACGTTTCGGAGGCAACACAAGTCTCCGTCATCAGGTGGGACCGTCACAGCGAGATTTACTGTATTATTTATATTATTTTTATTATTTATTTTTACCTACGTGACTTTACCGAAAAAACCTAAGAGTATGAATCCTTGCAGTCACGAAAGCTTCAAATCTAGAAAAAATACAGAGACTCCTTTACTTACGAACGAATTAGGGTCCAGGTCTGTACGCAAATCCAACTTTACTGTCGAACCCAAACATGCTGTACGGCATGTACACTAAACATGGGAAATGGCTTTAAAAGTTGCACAATCTCCTGCAGATGCCACTGGTTCTTCACGTTCTGCAGATGTAGATGCCACTGGTTCTTCACATTCTGCAGATGTAGATGTCACTGGTTCTTCATGTTCTGTAGATGTTCATGCCACTGGTTCTTCACGTTCTGCAGATGTAGATGCCACTGGTTCTTCACGTTCTGTAGATGTAGATGCCACTGGTTCTTCAAGTTCTGCAGATGTAGATGCCACTGGTTCTTCACATTCTGCAGATGCCACTGGTTCTTCACATTCTGCAGATGTAAATGCCACTGGTTCTTCACGTTCTGCAGATGTAGATGTCACTGGTTCATCACATTCTGCAGATGTAGATGCCACTGGTTCTTCACGTTCTGAAGATGTAGATGCCACTGGTTCTTCACGTTCTGCCGATGTAGATGCCACTGGTTCTTCACGTTCTGAAGATGTAGATGCCACTGGTTCTTCACGTTCTGTAGATGTTCATGCCACTGGTTCTTCACGTTCTGTAGATGTAGATGCCACTGGTTCTTCACATTCTGCAGATGCCACTGGTTCTTCACATTCTGCAGATGTAGATGCCACTGGTTCTTCACGTTCTGCAGATGTAGATGCCACTGGTTCTTCACATTCTGCAGATGTAGATGCCACTGGTTCTTCACATTCTACAGATGTAGATGTCACTGGTTCTTCACGTTCTGTAGATGTAGATGCCACCACCGCCATCTATTGCGTGGCGGTTGAACTTACACCTCTCGGTCCGAACAGGCAACTGGACACATAGGGGACAGGTTTGTTGGTATCTCTGAAAGTTCATAAATCGAATGTTCGTAAGTAGAGGAGTCCCTGTAGTTAAAACATTTTTTTTTAATAATCGTTTTTTGACAGCATGCCACGTGGGCCCCCAGCACCCACCACACGGGGCACAACCAGAAGAGAGCAGGCGGGCAGGCGGTGGCGACCGCCCCTCCACCACGCGCACGGCACCACGGGAGGCGGCCCTACCGTGGGTGTGGCCGCCCTTGCGGTGGTCCCGGCGTGCGCTGGCCGGCTGCTGCCGTGCGTCTCTCCGGCCGTTGGCTGCGACTCTGGCCATGGTCTCCCTGCACGCGCGTAGCCACACACGCACACACACACGCACACAACCACACACGCACGCACACAACCACACACGCACACACACGCACACACACGCACACAGCCACACGCACACACACACACGCACACAACCACACACGCACACAACCACACACGCACACACACGCACACACGCACACACACACACGCACACACACACACGCACACACGCACAACCACGCACGCACACAACCACACGCACACAACCACACACGCACACAACCACACACACCTGTAAACACACGCCTAGCCACAAGCACACACACGTGTAGCCATGCACACACACAAGTAGCCACACGCAAATTTCATATACGGTACATTAAACACTATGTACATACAACTTAAAACAATGGAAACATCTGGCCGTAATAAACTTCGATAATGTAAAAACAATTAATATAGAGACGGTGCGATCTGGCGAAAAGTTGCTTTATGTAAATTCGGCGTTGTCATCGGTCCGGCGAACGTCAAACTGCGCGGTTGTGTTGAAACAAGAGCATTGTAGTCGTAGTACGACTGCTAACATCACCCCGTGATGCAGTCTGATTGAGATGATTGGAGTAGTAAGTACGCTACAGTAAATACGAGAACATTTTTTACGTTAGGATATCTATTTTGTGTCTATTTGTATGTTTATTAATGTCAATTTCACATAGTAAAACATTTAAAGCGCTTTCAAACACATACACACCACACCTAAAAACATGCTATGCAAGAATGTGCACAAATAACTTTTTTTTAATAATGACGATGAGTGAATATCCGCCGTTTTTTGAAAACACAGCTCCCACTCCCCCCCCTAAGTCTCCCAATCATCTTGGATCTCCTGCAGAGCACTTCTTTCAGAAGCCCTGAGACATGGCCATCACGAATGATATCAGCTCAACGAAGGGACTCATCATCATCATCACGTGGAGATGTATAGCGGCAACACTCTCAGCGCGTGATGTCGATTCTAAACGCGGAGGGGAAAAACCGGAGGACCCGGAGAACAATTCACACAACCACAGAGAGACACGCAGACCCCAAAATATGCAGTTGTCAGGACCATGATCGAACCCACGACCTCCTGTATACAAGGCGAGGTAGTTAACATCTCCTAGCCACCGTAGTGATGAGACACGCAGACCCCAAAATATGCAGTTGTCAGTGCCATGATCGAACCCACGACCTCCTGTATACAAGGCGAGGTAGTTAACATCTTACCACCAAAGCTAACCAGAGACCCCCCCCCCATATAGCCATAACAGACTTTTGGGGAAAGTGCTGTTAGCGGAGCACCTATTAAGGCTAAACACGCGCACAAAATGTGACTGGTATTGGCCAAGACAAATCCCAAACGCTGAACATCGCCACCGCTACTGCACAAAGAAAAAATTAACCCGGAAAAACAAAGTTTTTCACTATAAATCCTTTATATGCGTGGCATCGGGGCGGCGAGAGTCCTCTCGTCCTCTGGCTTGAGATGGCTGCCACCTATGGGTCAGATGATTGTCTGCCAGTATTAAGCAATTGGTAATTAAATATTTAATTTGTTTTCCCTAAACAGTGTAAAATTTTGGAAAAAAAAATTCACGAACATTAATTGTCACGCACAACGAGTCTGTGTGGAAAATGTCAGCTCGATTGGATCACGGGAAGTGGGTTAAAAAACGACCGAAAGATTTGCACGGTCGTAAGCAAGCAAGCAAGCGAACTTAATATAAAGGATTTAAAAACGAACAAGACCCTCCTGAGAGAGAGCCTTGAGACTCAGCGAGGCTTTCCCCGGGGTAAGCAAGCAGAATAGATGTTTGGTGGTGGTGAAGGGGGGGCGGGGGGTCTTACCACGACAGAAATATTGCCGAAACATTGTCTCCCGACTCATGAATCAAATACGATCTCACTTGCAATAAAACACTCACTGCTGCTTTTAGTGTTTAGTTTCGTGTCCTTCCCCCGCACCTCCGATTAGCCACGGTCGACAACGTAGGGTGGAAAAGAAGTTCAACATCTGCACCTCATGGCGGTACCCCGGCTCTCGCATAATGTCCGTGACAAAGTCATTCTTAGTCTGTTGATGGTCGGAGAAGCGGCAATCGACTCGTCTCGACGAGCTGTACTCACGATGCACTCTTCAAAGTTGCATTTTTCGATAAAAGATTTTTGTTGTGCTGTTTGGCGTTTCCACATCGCGGGGTGTGGCACTGATTTCGGATTGCTACCCCAGTCGCGGAGTTGAGTAACACCCCTGGGAAAAAAAAGTGTCCCAGAAATAGAATATTTAATTGCTTCACCCATTTTGTATTATTTGGTACCCTGGGGTACATTTACTTTATACACACTGCACTATACACTACGATACACTACTATACACTATATACTACACTATACACTACGCTATACACTACGATACACACTATACTGCACTACATACTACACTATACACTACACTATACACTACACTATACACTACACTATACACTACTATATACTACACTATATACTACACTATATACTACACTATACACTACGATACACTACACTATATACTACACTATATACTACACTATACACTACACTATATACTACACTATACACTACGATACACTACGATACACTACACTATATACTACACGATATACTACTATATACTACACTATACACTACACTATACACTATATACTACACTATACACTACTATATACTACACTATACACTACACTATACACTACACTATACACTACACTATACACTACTATATACTACACTATACACTACACTATACACTACACTATACACTATATACTACACGATACACTACGATACACTACTATACACTACACTATACACTACAGTATACTACACTACACACTACACTACACTATACACTACGATACACTACACTATACCCTACAGTATACTACACTACACACTACTATACACTATACTACACTATACACTACTATACACGGCACTATATACTACACTATACACTACGATACACGACACTACACTATACACTACTATACACGACACTATACACTACACTATACACTACACTATACACTACGATACACTACAATACACTACTATACACTACACTATATACTACGATACACTACAATACACTACTATACACTACACTATATACTACACTATACACTACGATACACTATGATACACTATGATACACTACGATACTCTACACTACACACTACAGTATACTACACTACACACTACTATACACGACACTATACACTACAAGGCGAGGTACAACACTACTATGCTAAATGAAAACTAGTTTCTTTAGAACTGCTTGTTGCGTTTAGTTTGTTGTCCTTCACCCCCGCACCTCCTATTAGACATGGTCAGCTACGTACTGCAGTGGGAGAGACATGCAACACGCACACAAACACACCGGGTATAACATCGGCAGCCCATGGGTGTCGTTCTAATACGGTAGACATCCATCGCCTACCCTGCGGTGGCGGTAAACCGACAACGAAAGCTGCGTTCAACTCCATTACGATTCATAATTGAATCTAGATTTGAAGTTTTCGTGACTGTTGAAGTTGCCCATTTCAGCAATTGTCTATTGCTGTGGGTGTCTATGTGTCTCTGTGGTTGACGGTCACTTGTGTTGCGCCCGAAACGTCGTGATTCAATTTATTTTGTACCTACGTGACTTTACCGAAAGAACCAAAGAGTATGGATTCATAATTGATGTTTGAGTTGGGGCCATGTTCACGCCCCGACTAAACCCGTGTCGTTCATCCCCTCCACCACCTGACACGGACCGTACAAGGTCCGCTTAATATTGCAGGTGTCCCGGTCGCTAGGAGATGTTAACTACCTCGCCTGGTATACATGAGGTCATGGGTTCCATCCCAACCCTGATGCCTGCTGTATTTTTGTGGAGTTTGCGTGTCTCTCTCATCCTCATCACAGATGCTAGATGTTAACTACCTCGCCTGGGTTACAGGAGGTCGTGGGTTCCATCCCAACCCTGACGCCTGCTGTATATTTGGAGTCTGCGTCTCTCTTTCTCCGTGATCGCGTAGATTTTTCTCTGGATCTTTGGGTTATTCCCCTCCATGTTTAGAATCAACAGCATGCATTCAGAGCATTTGGAAGCTGCTATAAATGTATACGTGATCCTGATAAGCCACTTTGTTGATCTCTATGTATCTCTAATAGGTCTCCATGTGTCTCTATGTGTCTCTATGGGTCTCTTTGCACCTCTGTATCTGAGTCTCTGTGGGTCTCTGTATCTATTTATCTCTATGTATCTCTAATAGGTCTCTATGTGTCTCTGTGTCTCTATATATCTCTATGGGTCTCTATGCATTTAGAATATTTGCCTGCTCCTGTAAATTTCCACGTAATGATGACAAGCCACGTGGTTGAGCTATCATTTGTGATGGGCAGGTCTGCGCTCCTGTTAAAGAGCTACAACCAGCAGCTCGTTGGGGCCTTAACTGGTGAAATAAGTAATATTTTAAAAAACTTATTTAAAAACACGCTTTAATGAAATGTACCGTACTAGTAATGGCAAAACTCCAGGAATGGCCCCGAAGCTTGCCACAACGTGAGGGGCCGTGGTGATTTACAGCCAACGTCAGTTGAGCGTGGACAATTAGACCCAAGCCGAAACATAACATATAAAAATGAATGTTTAAAATTAATTTGTTTTAATTTTTTATGATAGAATATAGTATTGTCATCAGTTTGACATAAGTATACCAAGTTTGCAGTCGATACCACATTGGGAAGTGGGTTAAAATTGAGTTACACGATTTGAGGATACAACAACAGAGTTAAATAAAAGCGTGTAAAATAATAAAATACAAAATAGTTTAGTTTGTGTGTCTCTGTGGATCGCTGTGGGTGTCTGTGTGTCTCTGTGGATCGCTGTGGGTGTCTGTGTGTCTCTGTGGGTGTGTGTCTCTGTGGGTGTCTGTGCGTCTCTGTGGGTGCCTGTGCGTCTCTGTGGGTGCCTGTGCGTCTCTGTGGGTGCCTGTGCGTCTCTGTGGGTGCCTGTGCGTCTCTGTGGGTGCCTGTGCGTCTCTGTGGGTGCCTGTGCGTCTCTGTGGGTGCCTGTGCGTCTCTGTGGGTGCCTGTGCGTCTCTGTGGGTGTCTGTGCGTCTCTGTGGGTGTCTGTGCGTCTCTGTGGGTGTCTGTGCGTCTCTGTGGGTGTCTGTGCGTCTCTGTGGGTGTCTGTGCGTCTCTGTGGGTGTCTGTGCGTCTCTGTGGGTGTCTGTGCGTCTCTGTGGGTGTCTGTGCGTCTCTGTGGGTGTCTGTGCGTCTCTGTGGGTGTCTGTGCGTCTCTGTGGGTGTCTGTGCGTCTCTGTGGGTGTCTGTGCGTCTCTGGGTGTCTGTGCGTCTCTGTGGGTGTCTGTGTCTCTGTGGGTGTATGTGTCTCTGTGTGTCTGAGTGGGTGTCTGAGTGGGTGTCTGAGTGGGTGTCTCAGTGGGTGTCTCAGTGGGTGTCTCAGTGGGTGTCTCAGTGGGTGTCTCAGTGGGTGTCTCTGTGGGTGTCTCTGTGGGTGTCTCTGTGGGTGTCTCTGTGGGTGTCTCTGTGGGTGTCTCTGTGGGTGTCTCTGTGGGTGTCTCTGTGGGTGTCTCTGTGGGTGTCTCTGTGGGTGTCTCTGTGGGTGTCTCTGTGGGTGTCTGTGGGTGTCTGTGGGTCGCTGTGTCTCTGTGGGTCGCTGTGGGTGTCTGTGGGTGTCTGTGGGTGTCTGTGGGTGTCTGTGTCTCTGTGGGTGTGTGTCTCTGTGGGTGTGTGTCTCTGTGGGTGTGTGTCTGTGGGTGTCTGTGTGTCTCTGTGGGTGTCTGTGTGTCTCTGTGGGTGTCTGTGTGTCTCTGTGGGTGTCTGTGTGTCTCTGTGGGTGTGTGTGTGTCTCTGTGTGTCTCTGTGTGTGTCTGTGTGTCTCTGTGTGTGTCTGTGTGTCTCTGTGTGTGTCTGTGTGTCTCTGTGGGTGTCTGTGTGTCTCTGTGGGTGTCTGTGTGTCTCTGTGGGTGTCTGTCTCTGTGGGTGTCTGTGTGTGTGTCTGTGTGTCTCTGTGGGTGTCTGTGTGTCTCTGTGGGTGTCTGTGCGTCTCTGTGGGTGTCTGTGCGTCTGTGGGTGTCTGTGTGTCTCTGTGGGTGTCTCAGTGGGTGTCTGAGTGGGTGTCTGAGTGGGTGTCTGTGTGTCTCTGTGGGACGCTGTGGGTGTCTGTGGGTGTCTGTGTGTCTCTGTGGGTGTGTGTCTCTGTGGGTGTCTGTGTGTCTCTGTGGGTGTCTGTGTGTCTCTGTGGGTGTCTGTGCGTCTCTGTGGGTGTCTGTGCGTCTCTGTGGGTGTCTGTGCGTCTCTGTGGGTGTCTGTGCGTCTCTGTGGGTGTCTGTGCGTCTCTGTGGGTGTCTGTGCGTCTCTGTGGGTGTCTCTGTGGGTGTCTCTGTGGGTGTCTGTGTCTCTGTGGGTGTATGTGTCTCTGTGGGTGTATGTGTCTCTGTGTGTCTCAGTGGGTGTCTCAGTGGGTGTCTCTGTGGGTGTCTCTGTGTGTCTGTGTGTCTCTGTGGGTGTCTGTGGGTGTCTGTGGGTCGCTGTGGGTGTCTGTGTGTCTCTGTGGGTCGCTGTGGGTGTCTGTGGGTGTCTGTGTGTCTCTGTGGGTGTGTGTCTCTGTGGGTGTGTGTCTGTGGGTGTGTGTCTCTGTGGGTGTGTGTCTCTGTGGGTGTCTGTGTGTCTCTGTGGGTGTCTGTGTGTCTCTGTGGGTGTCTGTGTGTCTCTGTGGGTGTCTGTGTGTCTCTGTGGGTGTGTGTGTGTCTCTGTGGGTGTGTGTGTGTCTCTGTGGGTGTCTGTGTGTCTCTGTGGGTGTGTGTGTGTCTCTGTGGGTGTCTGTGTGTCTCTGTGGGTGTCTGTGTGTCTCTGTGGGTGTCTGTCTCTGTGGGTGTCTGTGTGGGTGTCTGTGTGTCTCTGTGGGTGTCTGTGCGTCTGTGGGTGTCTGTGTGTCTCTGTGGGTGTGTGTCTCTGTGGGTGTGTGTCTGTGGGTGTGTGTCTCTGTGGGTGTCTGTGTGTCTCTGTGGGTGTCTGTGTGTCTCTGTGGGTGTCTGTGTGTCTCTGTGGGTGTCTGTGTGTCTCTGTGGGTGTGTGTGTGTCTCTGTGGGTGTGTGTGTGTCTCTGTGGGTGTGTGTGTGTCTCTATGGGTGTGTGTCTCTATGGGTGTGTGTGTCTCTGTGTGTGTCTGTGTGTCTCTGTGTGTCTCTGTGTGTGTCTGTGTGTCTCTGTGTGTCTCTGTGTGTGTCTGTGTGTCTCTGTGGGTGTCTGTGTGTCTGTCTCTGTGGGTGTCTGTGTGGGTGTCTGTGTGTCTCTGTGGGTGTCTGTGCGTCTGTGGGTGTCTGTGTGTCTGTGGGTGTCTGTGTGTCTCTGTGGGTGTATGTGTCTCTGTGGGTGTATGTGTCTCTGTGGGTGTATGTGTCTCTGTGGGTGTATGTGTCTCTGTGGGTGTATTGTCTCTGTGTGTGTCTCAGTGGGTGTCTGAGTGGGTGTCTCTGTGTGTGTCTCTGTGTGTGTCTCTGTGAGTGTCTGTGGGTGTCTGTGTGTCTCTGTGGGTCGCTGTGGGTCTGTGGGTGTCTGTGTCTCTGTGGGTGTGTGTCTCTGTGGGTGTGTGTCTCTGTGGGTGTATGTGTGTCTCTGTTGTCTCTGTGTGTGTCTGTGTGTGTCTGTGTCTCTGTGTGTCTGTGTCTCTGTGTGTGTCTGTGTGTCTGTGCGTCTCTGTGGGTGTCTGTGCGTCTCTGTGGGTGTCTGTGCGTCTCTGTGGGTGTCTGTGCGTCTCTGTGGGTGTCTGTGCGTCTCTGTGGGTGTCTGTGCGTCTCTGTGGGTGTCTGTGCATCTCTGTGGGTGTATGTGTCTCTGTGGGTGTATGTGTCTCTGTGGGTGTTTGTGCGTCTCTGTGGGTGTCTGTGTGTCTCTGTGGGTCGCTGTGGGTGTCTGTGTGTCTCTGTGGGTGTGTGTCTCTGTGGGTCTGTGTGTGTGTCTCTGTGGGTCTGTGTGTGTGTCTCTGTGGGTGTCTGTGTGTGTGTCTCTGTGGGTGTCTGTGTGTCTCTGTGGGTGTCTGTGTGTCTCTGTGGGTGTCTGTGTCTCTGTCTGTGTGTCTCTGTGAGTGTCTGTGCGTCTCTGTGGGTGTCTGTGTGTCTCTGTGTGTGTGTCTGTGTGTCTCTGTGGGTGTGTGTGTCTCTGTGGGTGTCTGTGTGTCTCTGTTGGTGTCTGTGCGTCTCTGTGGGTGTTTGTGGGTGTCTTGTGTGGCTCAGTGTGTGTCTGTGGGTGTATGTGTTTCTGTGGGTGTTTGTGGGTGTCTGTGTGTCTCTGTGTGTGTCTCTCTGGGTGTATGTGTCTCTCTGTGCTGCTACACATTATTGCCACACGATTATTATGATGATTATGATGCTTATTGATGATTATGATGCTTATGATGATGCTTATGATGATGCTTATTGATGATTACGATGACACAAGCCACTTTGGTTGAGCTGCTATCATTCGTGATATCCATGCCGCTTGTTAAACACAATAAACAATAGCGGCTGATAAAACACAAACATCGTCAGCCGCGGCCTCCACATTTCATCATCTTACGAGTAATCGACGTTAACGTGCAGCGAACAAAGTTCACTGCGCGACGCAAACAACTTTCATCGTCGTTTATGAATACACACACAAGTACAATAAAGTCGTCGTCGTGTATCATCATTAAATTTATGTTTAATTGTGTTTAATTGTGTTAAATTGTGTTAAATTGTTGTGCTGAGCAGAGCGCTCACGATCACTTTAACCGCCACCCCCCCCCCGCTTATTAAACAATAACATTACACACACACAGCCTGACTAACACCGCCACAAGCGATAACTTTGAGTCGTCGTTCACTTAAAACGTTTAAAGTTTAATTTGTTTAAGTTTTAGTTTATAATTCGCGAGTTTCACCGCGGCCAGGAAAGGCCTCAGGCTAAAGGCCTAGGGCGCAACGCCTCCTCGGCGATCGGAATTAAAGACTAAAACACTTTTGTTATCGTTTAAAAAAACGTCTCTTGTCGCCGCAAACACTTTAAAAGTTTGTAATTCGCAAGCAAGTTCGTGTGGGTTACAAGAACGTTAAGAGCGTGAGGCGAGTGTTAGAGGTTTCGCGCTAATTTTTCCTCTCTCTTTGTAACCGAATCGCAGCGGCTAATTTACTTATTTAACGTCTTTGTTGTTGCTAGAATCGTTTACAAAACGTACAGCGGCAACAGACGAACAGCAACAGCACGAAGACAACTTTTTAAACAACTTTAACTTTAAAAAAAATACTTAAATCGCCTCAAACCTCTCGACTCGGATTCCTCGCGACTCCCGCCGCCGATATCCATCCGTAGGGAGGCGCCGCGTTAAATATTAATTATTATTTAAGATTATAAACTCAAACGTAAACAAACTAAAACATAAACAACAATAATAATAATATCGAGAAGCAACAATCTTAATAAGCCGCCTACGAGTTCAGTTCGCGGCTGCGCCGTGCCGAGATGTCGACATTTGGGCGGTCGAACGGAATGGATGTCCTTGGTCCGGTCATGGGAATGTGGAATGTCCACCACCGACTCAAGTTGAGGCCGTGCAAGGGCACGAGAGAGGCTTTGTCGAGAAGCCAACATTTAGCGGTCGAACGGAATGGATGTCCTTGGTCCGGTCATGGGAATGTGGAATGTCCACCACTCACTAACGTTGAGGCCGTGCAAGCGCACGAGAGAGGCTTTGTCTAGAAGCCAACATTGGGCGGTTTAACAGAATGGATGTCCTTGGTCCGGTCATGGGAATGTGGAATGTCCACCACTCACTAATGTTGCGGCTCGGCGTGTTTGATGTACGGCCTCGCGCACCGTTTACAACATCGATCCATCATGCGGCTGTCGCCTGATGAAGCTGGTGGTAATTACTGGCGAAACGTCGAACTCAGATTGTAAATGTTGCGGCTTGGCTCTCCAACACGCCGGTGTGGTGCTGTACTTGTACACTACACTATACACTATACTATACACTATATACTACACACCACTACACACTACAATACACTACACACATAAACTACACTATACACTACACACCACTACACACTACACTACACACATAAACTACACTATACACTACACACCACTACACACTACACTACACACATAAACTACACTATACACTACACTACACATAAACTACAACTATACACTACACTACACACATAAACTACACTATACACTACACACCACTACACACTACACGCATAAACTACACTATACACTACACTACACATAAACTACAACTAAACACTACACTACACACATAAACTACACTATACACTACACATAAACTACAACTAAACACTACACTACACACATAAACTACACTATACACTACACATAAACTACAACTAAACACTACACTACACACATAAACTACACTATACACTACACATAAACTACAACTAAACACTACACTACACATAAACTACAACTAAACACTACACATAAACTACAACTAAACACTACACTACACATAAACTACAACTAAACACTACACACAAACTACACTATACACTACACTACACACATAAACTACACTACACACATAAACTACACTATACACTACACATAAACTACACTATACACTACACACTACAATACGCACTACTATACAATATACACACTATACACTACTACACACTATACAATGCACTACAACACACTACTATACACTACACTATACACGACTATACACTACACTATAGACTACTATACACTACACTATATTATGCATGATATTGGTCGCGAAAGCCTGCGTGTTCAACTACATTATCGATACCATGGGTAGAGCAACTAGCACGGCCCGCTCCCTGTAAACTAAATTATAAACTACTTCTATTATTACCAAGTAAGAGCCCACCACGTTTCTGTGTCGCTCATTTCTTCAGAAGCGACCGGCCATCACCAATGATCGTGTGGGCTCATCGTCATCATCGTCATCATCACGTCCATATTCACAGCAGCAGCCAAATGTGGAGGGGAGAAAGCGGAGAAGAATCCACACGACCCACGGGGAGAGAGATCGAGAGACACACAAACTACAAATATACAGCAGCAGCAGCAGGCATTGTCAGGGTCGGGATCGAACCCACGACCTCCTGTAGACCAGGCGAGGTGGTTAACATCTCATAGCCACCGTGATGATGATGAGACACACAAACTCCACAAATATACAGCAGTAGGCATCGTCAGGGTTGAGATCGAACCCACGACCTCCTGCATACCAGGCGAGGTAGTTAACATCTCATAGCCACCGTGATGATGATGAGAGAGAGACACGCAAACTCCAAATATACAGCAGTAGGCATCGTCAGGGTTGAGATCGAACTCACGACCTCCTGTGTACCAGGCGAGGTAGTCAACATCTCCTAGCCACCGTGATGATGATGAGAGAGAGACACAGACCTCCTGTAGACTAGGCGAGGTAGTCAACATCTCCTAGCCACCGTGGTGATGTTGATGAGAGACACAGACCTCCTGTGTACCAGGCGAGGTAGTCAACATCTCCTAGCCACCGTGATGATGATGATGATGAGAGAGAGACACAGACGTCCTGTAGACCAGGCGAGGTAGTCAACATCTCACAGCCACCGTGATGATGATGAGAGACACAGACCTCCTGTAGACCAGGCGAGGTAGTCAACATCTCACAGCCACCGTGATGATGATGAGAGAGAGACACAGACCTCCTGTAGACTAGGCGAAGTAGTCAACATCTCCTAGCCACCGTGGTGATGTTGATGAGAGACACAGACCTCCTGTGTACCAGGCGAGGTAGTCAACATCTCCTAGCCACCGTGATGATGATGATGATGAGAGAGAGACACAGACGTCCTGTAGACCAGGCGAGGTAGTCAACATCTCACAGCCACCGTGATGATGATGAGAGACACAGACCTCCTGTAGACCAGGCGAGGTAGTCAACATCTCACAGCCACCGTGATGATGATGATGATGAGAGAGAGACAGACCTCCTGTAGACCAGGCGAGGTAGTCAACATCTCATAGCCACCGTGACGATGATGAGAGAGACACGCAAACTCCAAATCTACAGCAGCAGCAGAAGGCGTCAGGGTCTGGATGGAACTCACGACCTCCTGCACACGAGGCGAGGTAGTTATCTGGTGGTGGCGGGTTTAACGACATTCATATTTACGCGACCCCGCACCCCCCCCCCCCCCGCTACATGATGGAGAGCTGCAATGCCCTTCTCACAACACATGTAGAGCTCAGGGCGCAACGCCCCTCGCCACCGCGCACACAGCCACAGCCTCGGCCTCGGCAACTACGACGCCGCCGCCGCGTTGCGGACGCGGCTCCGTACGCACCGAGACGCGGCGGGGCCCGGCCGCGAGGCAGGGGGGTGCGGGCAGGTGGATCGGAGCCAGCGGACACGCGACACGAGTGCGGGTGTCGTGAGTTGTGAGTGTCTGGGTGTCGTGCGAGTGTTGTGAGTGTCTGTGTGTGTGTGCACGCACTGTACTCGTACAGTAGTAGGGGGGGGGTAAATAAATAAATAACTCGCAGCCCCGCCCCCCTCCCGCTGCGCGCGCGACTCCCGGAAGTGGCTCCTTGAGCGTCCGCTCCGCGCAATATGTCCGACGGGGGGCGGGGCTAGATAGGGTGGGCGGGGCTATAGGGTGGGGGGGCGTCGTAATTGGACAGTGACTGAGTGGGCGGGGCTAGATAGGGTGGGCGGGGCTATAGGGTGGGGGGGCGTCGTGATTGGACAGTGACTGAGTGGGCGGGGCTAGATAGAGTGGGCGGGGCTTTAGGGTGGGGGGGCGTCGCGATTGGACAGTGACTGAGTGGGCGGGGCTAGATAGGGTGGGCGGGGCTATAGGGTGGGAGGGCGTCGCGATTGGACAGTGACTGAGTGGGCGGGCTTTAGAGTGGGGTAGGCGGGACTATAGGGTGGGGAAGAGGGCGTCGCGATTGGACAGTGACTGAGTGGGCGGGGCTTTAGAGTGAGGTAGGCGGGGCTAGGGTGGGGAGGAGGGCGTTGTGATTGGACAGTGACTGAGTGGTCGGGGCTTTAGAGTGAGGTAGGCGGGGCTAGGGTGGGAAAGAGGGCGTCGTGATTGGACAGTGACTGAGTGGGCGGGGCTTTAGAGTGAGGTAGGCGGGGCTAGGGTGGGGAAGAGGGCGTCGTGATTGGACAGTGACTGAGTGGGCGGGGCTTGTGAGTGGGGTAGGCGGGGCTAGGGTGGGGAAGAGGGCGTCGTGATTGGACAGTGACTGAGTGGGCGGGGCTTTAGAGTGGGGTAGGCGGGGCTAGGGTGGGGAAGAGGGCGTCGTGATTGGACAGTGACTGAGTGGGCGGGGCTTTAGAGTGGGGTAGGCGGGGCTAGGGTGGGGAGGAGGGCGTCGCATTGGACAGTGACTGAGTGGGCGGGGCTTTAGAGTGGGGTAGGCGGGGCTAGGGTGGGGGGGCGTCGTGATTGGACAGTGACTGAGTGGGCGGGGCTTTAGAGTGGGGTGGGCGGGGCTAGGGTGGGGAAGAGGGCGTGGTGATTGGACAGTGACCGAGTGAGCGGGGCTTGTGAGGAGGGGGGAGGAGCTACGTGGAATGTGCGGGGCGGGGCTTAGGGTGCTGACGCGAGGGTCTGGAGAGGCGGGGCTTGAATTATCAGAATAATATTTACGTACTGTACCATGTACTGTACCATGTACTGTACTATGTACTGCACTATGTACTGTACCATGTACAGCACTGTGTACTGTACCATGTACTGTGCTATGTACTGTACCGTGTACTGTACCATGTACTGCACCGTGTACTGTACCATATACTGTACTATGTACTGTACCATGTACTGTACCATGTACAGCGCTATGTACTGTACCATGTACTGTACTATGTACTGTACTGTGTACTGTACTATGTACTGTAGCATGTACTGTACCATGTACTGTACATAGTACTGTTCTGGAGGAATCCGATGAGCTGCGAAGCTCTTAGAGAGGCAGTTCCACGGAACATTGCCAACAAGAGAGGCGGCGGCTGTTGTTGGTAGAGGGTGGGGGGGTTTGAATAAGATGAGGGAGAGGGGAGCCTCGCTGTTGGTCGAGACTCCAGTGGGCGGGTCTCAGTGGGCGATTTGGCTGCAATAAATAAACCTGATGGAGGGACCCCGGGGTCCCGAATAATCGGGAGTCAAATCGTAATTCTAACTTTGATTGGCGCATCGTGTAGAGCTCGTGGAGAGGAATCGATTGCCGTGTGGCTCGCCTTCAGCAGACATTCAATGACCCCGCGTCGTTATTTTTTATTATTTCTCCATCTAAAGGGTAAACACACAATATTCAGATGCTGTACTGAGAAGGGCCATTGGTCCGAAACGTCGTCTGTTATCTATTTTCCCTTCCAAGGCCACAACACACACACACACACTCTGGTGGTGGTGGTGGTGTTGTTGTTGACTGTTGTTGTTGTTGATTGTTGTTGTTGTTGCTGCGCTACCACCAACAACAACGAATCAGCAGCAGCAGCGCCGGCTGATTCGTGTTTAGTCGTGGGGAGTGTGGGGGGAGGGTGGGGGGAGGGTGGAGAGGGGCGGGGCAGTGGGGGAGGGTGGGGGGAGGGTGGAGAGGGGCGGGGCAGTGGGGGAGGGGCGGGGCAGTGGGGGAGGGTGGGGGGAGGGTGGAGAGGGGCGGGGCAGTGGGGGAGGGTGGGGGGAGGGTGGAGAGGGGCGGGGCAGTGGGGGAGGGTGGGGGGAGGGGTGGAGAGGGGCGGGGCAGTGGGGGAGGGTGGGGGGAGGGTGGGGGAGGGGTGGAGAGGGGCGGGGCAGTGGGGGAGGGTGGGGGGAGGGTGGGGGGAGGGTGGAGAGGGGCGGGGCAGTGGGGGAGGGTGGGGGGAGGGGTGGAGAGGGGCAGGGCAGTGGGGGAGGGTGGGGGAGGGGTGGAGAGGGGCGGGGCAGTGGGGGAGGGTGGGGGGAGGGGTGGAGAGGGGCGGGGGCAGTGGGGGAGGGTGGGGGGAGGGTGGGGGGAGGGTGGGGGGAGGGTGGAGAGGGGCGGGGCAGTGGGGGAGGGTGGGGGAGGGGTGGAGAGGGGCGGGGCAGTGGGGGAGGGTGGGGGGAGGGGTGGAGAGGGGCGGGGCAGTGGGGGAGGGTGGGGGGAGGGTGGGGGAGGGGTGGAGAGGGGCGGGCCAGTGGGGGAGGGGCGGGGCAGTGGGGGGAGGGGCGGGGCGAGTGGGGGGGGGGGGCTACAGGGCGCACTGCGCATGCGCGCGGCCGACATTTTAAGCCGCGTGGCGCCGTGCGCCATCTCGCGGTGTCAACAGAATGTTCAGTTTCGTCTATTGGGCATAATTCTAGATTTGAAGCTTTCGTGACTGCAATGATTAATACTCTTAGGGTTTTTTCGGTAAAGTCACCATGTAGGTAGAAATAAAATAATAAAGATCACGACGTTTCGGAGGCAACACAAGTCTCCGTCAT